CAGGCTGTGGCTTCGTTGCACACGATGGCGGTGCTTCAGGCTTACCAGGCTGACCTGCTGAAGGACCTGGATGAGGGGCAGGGCTTTTCCTCTGCCGGAACGGCTGAGTTGCGGCGCACCACAGACTTGGCCCTCCGGGCTACTAAGCAGGCAGCCTCGGCCATGGGCAGAGCGATGGCTGCTATGGTGGTGACGGAGCGGCAGTTGTGGGTGAACTTGGCGGACATCGGGAAGAAAGAAAGGGGCTTTCTTCTCGATGCCCCGGTTTCGCCCTCTGAACTGTTTGGCACCTCCGTTGAGACGGTGGTCGACAAGTTCAGGGAGGCGAAGTCGCGCACAGCAGCGTTCAAAGTCCTTCATACCACGAAGGCCCAGGTCTGAGCCCAAACAAACCAGAGGTCCTGGCCCGTCTCGGTCTGAGGGTCACAGAGGGCTAGTGTCGCGACTCGCGCCCCGCCTCCACCTGTGGGTGGGGGTAGGAGGTATCGTGGGTCGAGGGGAGGCAGGCGAAACCCGAGGGGTGAGACCTGGGCAAGGCACCAGCGCTTTCGTCCGGGTCAGAGTAATACCTAGGTATTCACTCTCTCCCGTAGGGGTTACAACATCTACCCTGTTCTCCCCTTCTTTCTAATTCCCCCTTCTATGACCACCATCTCCAGCTGACCGAGGTTAGCTGTACAATAATTTTTCAAACAGTCTCCTACTGGGCCCATGATGTTTTGGTGGTTCTATGGCCAGATCATAGTAACCGCCTGACTGATGACCGGTCAAAAGATCCCAGGACAGAGCCCCGGCAACAAGGCTCGTGGTGGGTGAGTATGATCCATATATCATGAGAGCAGGCATGCTAATGAGAGACTGAGGTGGTCATGTGTAAAAAATTTATAAAGTTACCTGCAGCAGATGATCCGGTCAGAAAGATCCTCGGAGCAGAGCTCCAGCACAGAGGTCATGGGGGTGAGTACGATCCAAATATCATGATATCTGTATATCGAGGGCAGACCGAGATGGCTGTGTGTGTGTAACCTTCTATAGTTCCTTGCAGTGTTTCCCGGGACCTGTACGTTTCTGTCCCTTGCTAGACGCGCTCGATCAGGTGCCGTTGCTGGGCTCAGAGGCCAGGTGCTCTACTTGCAGTAGGCGTGTCACTCGTCGACATATGTCCAGACGGTAAGAAAAGCCGGGCTTCGGCTTCATACCCCCTGGATCATGCGGCCGAACACGGGCTACACTGCAAGGCACCCGGACGGGGCCACAGTGCCTGGCCACCCCGAGGGGCTTCCTGGCCGCCAGCGTACTCCTTCTTACTGAGGCAACGAACGGGAGGTACAGGGGGCATCACCAGGATCCTCCTGTGTAAAGCTGTCTCAGGCAGGGCGCCCATCACTACTGAGATGTGCGAGCCGGCCTCTTCCGGCTGGCAGCGATATGGTCGGGTTTCCATGAACGCATGGTAAA